GGTTTGTATAAAAGTATGGTACGAGATTGCATTTAACTACCAGAACAAGGCAATACAAAACGCAAATATATAAAAATGATACTATGCTTTGATTATTAACAAAATATGGTTTGAAAGTGCTCATGTAGACCAAAACATGGTACTACAATGCTCAAAAATAAAAAATATGGTATGATTCTATGATTTGTATAAAAGTTTGGTACGAAATTGTGATACACAACGCATAAATATCATCAAATGATACTATGCTATGATTTGTAACAAAATATGGTCTGAAATTGCTAACGAAATCCAAAAGATGGTACTTTAATGTTCAAAAATATAAAAATATGGTACGACGATATGGATTCTATAAAAGTATGGTACGAAAATGCTTTTAATTACCAAAACATGGCAATACACAATGCGGAAATATCAAAAAGTGATACAATGCTATGATTTGTAACAAAATATGTTTATAAAATGCTAACGCAGACCATAAGATGGTACTATAATGCTCAAAAATATAAAAATATGGTACGTTAATATGAATTTTATAAAAGTATGGTACGAAAATGCATTTAATTACCAAAACATGATAATACACAACGCAAAAATATCAAAAAGTTATACAATGCTATGATTTGTGACAAAATATGTTTATAAAATGCTAACGCAGACCATAAGATGTACGATAATATGAATTTTATAAAAATATGGTACGAAAATGCATAAAAATACCAAAACATGATAATACACAACGCAAAAATATCAAAAAGTGAAACAATGCTATGATTTGTGACAAAATATGTTTATATAATGCTAACGCAGACCATAAGATGGTACTATAATGCTCAAAAATATAAAAATATGGTACGATGATATGAATCCTATACAGGTATGGTACGAAATTGGATTTAATTACCAAAACATGGCAAAACAAAACGCATATATATCAAAAAGTGATACAACGCTATGATTCGTGACAAAATATGTTTATAAATTGCTAACGTAGACCATCAGATGGTACTATAATGCTCACAAATATAATAATATGGTATGATGATATGGTTTCTATTAAAGTATGGTACGAAATTGCATTTAATTACCGAAACATGGCAATATAAAACGCAGATATATCAAAAAGTGATACAATGCTTTAATAGTATCAAAATATGGTTTGAAATTGCTCATCTAGACCAAAACATGGTACTAAAATGCTCAGAAATTTAAAATTATGGTTTAATTATATGATTTGATGGTACGAAATTGCATTAAAATACCAAAACATGACAATATACAACGCAAAAATATAAGAAAATGATACTATGCTATGATTTGTAACAAAATATGGTTTAACGCAGACCATAAGATGGTACTTCAATGCTTAAAAATATAAAGTATGGTACGATGATATGGTTTTCATAAAGTATGGTGCGAAATTGCCAAAACGGGCTCTCTTCCAGTCCATACTAGAAAGGGTAATTGGTCCAGCGATATACTTCTTGTAGGGCACCGATTACGAAGAAAGCTGGCAGTTATGCCAGCTTGACCCAATACTTCTTTGGCAAGTTACACTTGTTTTGTCATCTAAAAAAATTGCAAGAGTGATAGCCTGCAGCGAGGCTGCCGTAGCTTTGCGCTTAGAGAAAGCGTAAGTTAGGTCTCCGACCTTTCCCTCTATACTCAGGACAAGTACGAGTTTAGCTGATCGCAATCCGCTTACTCCAAAAGTAATTACAACCTTAACCCAAGGCTAATTAACTCTTCGGTTTAGACTCGAAACTGACTCTATTGCTTTTTATCTGCGGCAAAGCCGGCTAATTTTAAATGTATAGATTTTCCTAAATATATTGTAATATCTAAATGCGGGCATAACTACTGGCTACCGAGTCACGTACCGTATTCTTGTTTGGGTGTGGTCACACCATGCCGATCTGGTGTGACACACACTCCTGTTACAAGGATACGTGTAACCCCGTTACACTCATGGTGATGCAGCCTATTCTTACGCCACCAGTGCGCTAACATAGCTGCTGACGCTTCAGGGCAAGCGATTATCGCTTGAGAAGCCCTTTACCTACCATTTCCTGACCACAAGTTTACCGAGCATGATAGTAGGTAGTTTAACAGTTTGTCTTCCTCCCAAGTATACGTCTTCAACTTCAATATATATTCATATCCTTTACCGTGAGGGCAGTGCGTCACCCGCACGGAGATTTTTGATTATAGTAGCGACAGGAACTACCGACATGTGCAATTTATAGACTAAACATAGTCAATTACATTGTTTATTCTCTGGAACTAATAATATTCCAGCAATATTCAACTGATGTAGTATTTCTTAACTTTCTTAACCCGTAAATCCTGTAAAAAAATTAGTCAGCAACACTTTTTTCTTACCCAATAGAAAAGAAGTATTGCTGCTCAAATTTCAATTCAAAAGTTTAAAACCAGATCGCGCGTATTCTCATTTCACGTTGCACAATCAGGTAACTGCGCTTTACACCTTGTGCAATGACGGATCGATTAATTCACAATCGTGTGTTTAAAGTGTCAAAAGAGCTAAATCAAGTGGTGCGGTTTACAAGCTCTGCCATTCCTTACAGCGACTAAACATGAATCAACGTGTATGTGTATCCGTTCGTTCACCTTAGGACGTGCTGTGTGAACAGCACCGACGCCACATCAGTAATCGACAAGGTCTTCCAAACTGGAATATGCCTATGACTCCAGCTGGAAAGACGAGTTGTCATCACGAGCGCACGCCAGCTTTCTTTGCGTGGAATGAAGAGCCGGAGGAGAGATCCCGCCCAACGTGGCAAACAGATACACCGCAGGTTCGTATCTTAATGTATGCCACAGTAACATAAGCGCAAACGAGCATTACTCTTTTAAATTCGCAGAAAGTAGCAAGGACATTGCACTTAACTCCAGTAAAAGACCGACAACCTGTTGCTGAGAATTCACCTGACCTTTTCAGGGAAGAAAATGCCGCATTGAAGCGTAGAATTGACAATCTGGATGAAGAGTCAGCTATTGAGGCCAACAGCGACTCCTGTCTGGTAGAAAAAGAGGATTTATCGCCGACAGAGCGATTAGTTACTAAAAATCCCGTTCGGGAGGATATTGTTGACCGCACTTCCTATGCAGCTTCCGCTTCAAGTATCGAGATTGCTCCTACTTCGCGATATCAACAACTTCATCAAGTTGCAAGTGCGACAGCCACTCCTAAATCTCAATTTCGTGATATTGCTGCTGGACTATCAACTGAGAAAGCGGATCGCTATCGCATGAGCAGATCAAGTGGTAAAAGGTTTCGCTCTCCAGTCCGAACATCATTGTGGGAACACTGCAACGATAAATATATTCATCAAGATATTGGTGGCTATAAAGACGCCACTAATTTATCCCACAAACGCATCACCCCCTCAACGGCTGCACGAACATTTGACAGTTCAGCAGTCTCTCAAGCTCTAAATATGACGCCAATCAGATCTCAGATGACTGGTCAAGATCGCCGACCAATACGTACAGGATCTGAGCCATCAGATTTTTCTACTAGTGCATCTCGAGAGTTTGTACACGACGATGAATGGAAACAGTCGGAGCTACCGCAACTCGATACGATAAATAGCACAAAAAACACGTCACTATTAGCAAACAAAGAATACGGGCATCGCGCGGGTAAACGAGTTTCATTTAATGGAGAGACTGCACGTCCGCAGCCTCAAATGCTTCCTGTACTGGCCGATAAGACGACGCAGACGGACGAGTCGCTTTGGCCACCTCGTACAGACACCACATTATTGTCTTCTGACATACGAATACCAGATACTGATGCTTCTGTTCGTTGCTCTGCGTGTAAAAAGGATTTCAATCATCTTGAACGTCCTCAAAAAGTGCCACGACATTCTATTGCAGCTCAGCAGCCAAATTTTCGCCGTTCTAGTAGCCACTTGACGAATCCAATCTTGATGAATCCACGTTACCCACCAGAGCCAAAAACATTTCAAAAGCGCTCGACGTCTTCTTCATTATTTAACGACCGATTAGCTTGGCGATAGCGACTGATGAAATCAAGTATAGATGAGAGTTTCTTCCCAAAAAATTCGCTATAGACGTCACGACTAAGCCAGCAAATGTAATGGAAGAGATTCATGATTCAAAATATTCGACAGAGCAGCAGCTTATGCGAATCATTACTTCGTCGATGAAGCCACACCCGTTCATGTCTCGTCTCCTTCCACCACTGTTCATCCTCAAGGAAAAGATTGTGACAATCACGCTCAAGTGCTTTATACAGTTGTCATTGCCGCTTGTTCATTTTGTTTCTGAAAGTGGCGTGGATGGAACTGGGCACGAAAGGTGACATATATAGTATTAAACAAGTTTGTGGGTGGTTGCATCCGATAAAGCTTACCAAAAGCGCAATCGGTTGCCGATAATGTACATTCGGATCTGTATAGTTTCATATATAGGCCAGCGTCAAGCCTTCGCTTAAATGTGTTGGGAATCGCGTATTTACGCTAGGTGATCACGATATTCAAGAGTTTTTGACAACGAGGATCGGGCTGCAAGATGACACAACCAAATAGAACTTTGTTTTGAGTTAAAAAGTTTATCAGCGCGTGTAAAGGGACCGTACGTCTCTGTCGACTGGATCAAGATTCAAATCTGTGCGATTCTTGGCACAATTGACTTCGTTTGTGTTGGAGATCACTGATGTGGTCGATAGCTCCTGTACACGATAACATTTAGGACACGACTTTTGTTTGTACCCCGAAGGAATTATTGCTGATGACAGACGACGAATAAAAGAATAATTGCTCTATTTCATGATCGTCATGTTAATAAGGACGTCATGTTGTGTGCTTGAGCTCGGATGAGCGTTGTAAGTTTGATAAAAACATTTTTTGCTTGCGAGGACAAAACGGCTACGACTTGGACAAATATGTTTCAATTTCTCACTAAACGATTCAAGCTAAGACGCTTGCAATTTTACAGTGCGATTTTTAGTATGAACGATTTGTGACCGACTCAAAAGTTATATAGAAAATGCTGTGGTAACATTCAACAAATCTTGTCTATAGTTAGACGTACTCTTCCGTCACCTGCTCACACTATTATCACGATAAAACTCTAATAATCGGATTTCTAGTCTTGCAGGTTCTACCGGTGGCAATCTCGCTACATTGAGAATAATTTCGCGAGGAATTGGAGCGTAGACCTCTACACCACTAGCTCGAGCGAATTTGCACACGTTCGCCATAGCACCTACAGGCATATCATGTAGGTCCGTCGAGACGAGTGGGGATTGAGATAAGGGAAAAACTGGAATTTTTGCAGGTGGTGCCATAGACACCTGCTGGGCTCCGCACATTTGTTGTTTCTTCGCTTGGTAATAGTTCGAGTAAGGCCCACCGGGTTTGAGAAATGCAAAATCTGGGTTGTTAGCCTCACGTTCTTTGGCTGCAGCTTCAAATGCGTCACCGTTTCGGGCCACAAATTCCACGAGTCGATCAATGCGATTTTTGACGTCGAAAGGGATGTTTTCGATGGAGGAAGGAGTTACATCGAGTGGAGTATTGGGAACCGCTGGAATCGAAGCGAATGACGGCGCATCCAATGCATGATTAGCACGTGCTGCAGCAGCTATAGAAGCAAGACGTGCTGCTTCCTTGGCCTGGGCGATACGCGCTTGAAACTGTTCCTCTAGCTGCGACATCGAAGGCAAGCAATCATAAACACATATTCGAAATATATACAACCATTGTACTTCATGCTGGTACTTCACGATGGTACTTTTGAGACAATAATAAAATGATGCGCATTCACCAAAACAGGGTACAAACATGGAAATATCGCACACAAAGAGCTCCGACTGAATGTTTCGCGCGAGCACACACACGGCAAATACGTCCGTACGTTCCAAAAGTCAATTGAGTGACTAGAAACCTAGTTGACCTTCTATTGCAAGGGTTACATACCATCAGAATCAGGTCTAGTTTGATCTAGTAGTCATATTTTTCTTTTACCATTCTCAATAATTTACTGCATGACATGAGACTAGCAATTTCGTGTCCCACATACCTCTATAAATTGGAGCCCATCGCTCTCCAGCACCACATCTGATTGTTGCACAAATGTCTCGCCAGAAATACTACCATTCCCCTTGCCATAAAGCAAATCATCTGGGAACCTCTTTGGTTCGAAAAGCTTCCCTGTAATAGGGTTACACGTACCTTGGTATACAGGTGGGTCACACAAAATGTTGTGACCGCACAAATGTGTGGATTACAAAAGCTGGTGTGATCACACGATGGTGTGGCTGCACTGTTACAAGAAGCCATTACGTGGCGGGAAAATGCATCGTAATTAGGTTTTACTATTTAATTAGGAAAACGTGAGGTAAAAGATGAGGTGGCCCTGCCGCAAATAAAACAAATACTACAGTTTCAATTTTAAACGAAAGAGTGTATTTGCCATGGTAAGGTTTAGGGTACTCTTGGAGGTAGCGGATTACGCCGCTACACTCGTACTCGCACAACACCTTGTAGCACAAGGCTCCGAGGCAATTGGTGCACGTCTAGAGGCGTTTTTGAGTTACGAAAACGCGCTGCTAGAGCACCTGCAGCAGAAGA